ACTGCCGGCAATGAGGACCAGACTCTGACACCGGTCGTACAAGGACCTGACAGCCCGTATCAAAGGGCCCGGTACCCCATTATGCTCTTCTGTATGGGTATTTAGAGTCATTCACACATGCTCACAGAGTTTTCCAACTAAAACCTGTTGCCACACCTCTGGACTCGTCGTGCCAGGGAGTTTTACAATCTTGAAACGTGAACAAAATAATTCACACGTTGACCTGGTTAGGAGGCATTCCACAAGTGACTCACACAATTAGTTGCGCATAAGAACTTAACAGCCCAATTGTGATGAGTCCATTGGTTTCTAATTATTTAATTAGTGTCAACAAATTAATGTGTACATAACTAATTACATAATTTACTGTTGATGCTAAAAAAATCAATCAAACAGGGAATGTTAAATATGTTGGCACTTACTTGAACAAGAAGTCAAACATGATTTTTATGTTTTCTTTTCCAGCTGTACATAAGAAAAGGTCATGTATGATGATTGTGTTTCTGGATGTAATAGCTTCAATCTTCTGTCATTTGCAGTTTTGTTACATATGCTTTTTAAATCCCACATCTTTTCAAACATAATGCTATTTTTTAAATCTTGTGCTCATGGGTGTCCACCATTAACTGTAATTTAAGATCATTAAGATCCTGTTTTGTGTCCTTGACTGCACTTTAAGATGTGGATTTCAAGGAAGAGGAATATGTTGTGATGAAGATAATKTCCCTTATGCTTCTATTTGAGGTTCATTCAAAAACTTTTTACATTTAAGCCATGAAATATAAAATTAGTTCATATTTATTTAGAATAAATCAGATTTTTTAAACTAATGAAGCGATTTTGTTTCTGTCTTGTCTGAACATACAGTAAATAACATGTGTTCATGTGAGACTGTCTGTCTATTTTCTTTTCCCCTCAAAAAGGGCAAACTTATGAAGGAGCAGCGTTTGAATTACTTCAAGAACAAATGGAATGTTCTGGAGCTGAGCATCATCTTCCTGAGCTGGAGCGCTGTGGCTGTTTTTATCAAGAGGACGCTGATTGGAGACCGTGATATGACCTATTACCAAAACAACAAAGACCAGTGAGATTGTAGCCAGTGTTCTGCTGTAACTGTTGGTAACATCGAAAATTACATTAGAGGGGGACTCTCCAAAGTGTTTRGAACAGTTCTCAAGTTGAGTATAGACACTCGCTTTTGTGTCACAGACATTTAATCACGTTCAAAAAATTTCTTAAAAACTTCTCTCAAAATAATTTGTCAYGGACACATACAGCAGGAAAAATAAGTATGGAACCCATCACCATTTTTCTCAGTAAATATATTACTAGAGGTGCGAATGACATGAAATTTTCACCAGATGTC